TTTGAACTCTTGGAGAACACAGAATTTGCATTCATTTCACAGCTAGTTGCTGACCCGTACAGATCTTTACACATCTCTAGTACCCTGCCACATTCCAGAATACAAAACACATGGCTTTTTTTTTTGTTGTTGTAAGTAGCTCAAACATGTAAGATGCACCTGCTAGTTTGTTTGGATTGAGGTCTGGTCACATTCAAACCATGAAGAAACCTCTTAGTTCATCTGTATTGGTCTGCACCTGAGTGATTACTGTGTTCACACCTGCACAAGTGAACCGCACCAAGGGGGAAACGAACCAGAGTTCGATATAAACTGACAAAACACTGCAGGTGTGAAAACACCATTTGACAATGTGTATTGCTGGAAGACAGTTAAACTTTTAAATAAACTATTAAACTTTATTTCTGGAAATTTCTAATCAAAGTCTATAATGCATCAACTTCCTGTGACTTCCAGTAATACATTTATTTTCCTAACAAGCTAACACCTTCTAGCGTTTCACCTTCCCTACTAACCCTAACATAGTTTGATTGGAGTCACATGTGAATAACTTCCTGGTTTGTCTTTCTCACATTGGGATCACCAGAAGGCTCTTCCAGTTCATCCAAAACACAGGCGTTCACACTCTGCCGGTGGGGAGAAATGGGTAGACCACAAACCACCTTCTAATTTGGAGTTAGACACTGTCATGCAGCCAATCATACCCAATGCAATCAAGGTGTCCACCCCAAGCGAGAAGGCTCTGTCTAAATGCCACAAGTATGTGCTTAGACATCAAGAGCTTGCCTCTGACGGGGAGATCGAAACCAAACTGATTAAGGTAAAATCAAAAAATGTGACTAATTTTTGGTGTTTGATTTTGATAATTTTAGATGTTGCATGAATTTCACTTGATTACAGATTACAATGTTTTAGTGGGACGCTCCTTCCTATTTACTTACAGATTTAATTCTGATAACACTTTCTTCCTCTTTCCTTTTTTTTTTCTTCTTTTTTTTTTGTTCTTGTTGTTTAAACCTCACCAGGGTGATGTGTTTAAGACCAGAAGTGGCGGACAAGCTGTGCAATTTACAGACATTGAGACTCTCAAACAAGTGTGCCCGTTAGCACCAAGGTACAGTATTATGTACAGAAATGTGATATATTTCTGTGTGCACAGAGAAATGACTATAATACCAAAACATAGCCCTTATTAATGCTAATCAAATACAAGTTATTAAATGTTCCCAAATAGAGACTGGGAAAGGTTGAATCCTTACGTTATAAGAGAACTGACTTAAAAACAACGCTCTTTGTTTCAGTCGCAAAAGGCGATCAGGATCCGCAGAAGGACCAGCTGAAGTGGAGGACATAGAAAACAGGGTAAGCTCTTAAAAAGCGTAAATACAACGACGAGCAAAACTTTAACTATGCTTTCTAATCACTGTTCAAACTTTCCCTCCCTAGGCTCCAGTGGCTAGCACAAATTCATCCCATGGGTATCAAAAGTAAGCACAAAGCATGTGTTTGTTTTATGTACTTTAGATTTTGGTTTTCAGTTTAAACTAAACTCTGTTCTTGGTTGTCTTTGTTTTCTTTCTTCCAGACGCAGAAAGCCTTAAATTGCCCTCAATATTTCCATCTTGCTTTTAACATACAAGAGTGGGTAATTGTGAGGAAATTGAAGGGAAACTATGCATCTTTTCAATCCCAAGTTGGGTCTTTTGTTTGTTTGGGTTTTTTTGTTGTTGTTTTTTAATTCTATCAAATCATATTAGGAATTATTCTGGTGGAATTATCATTTTTTCAGAACAATAATAATGTAGAATATTTAAGTTGTAATTGCTGCATTTGCGTTACTTTTTGAATTCTGGAAATATTTCTCCTTAAAAACATGAACAAACTTATAAACACTCTACAAATGGGACCTTTTATGCTTTTGAATGCTTTGTACTATCCAAAGACGACCATATGTCTCTATAGACCTGTTGTGCTTTTTTTTTTTTTCCTATGTGATTGTTTTTCTTTTCAAAGGTCATTGATTGATCAAATGTCAGACTAAGCATTGCTGATTATTAAAAAAACAAACTTTAGATTATGCTTTGTAGAATTGAAACTGTAAATATTACACTATTATGTAGGTTTTGAACTCAACCCCTGGCCTCCATGTAAATAGGTGTCATGCAACTTTTTACTTTGGCTTATTGAAACATCTCCTAAGACATATAGCACACTGCTCTTTCTGGTGGCATTAAATTTATTCAAACACCAACATCAAGCCTCATTATGATTTTTTTTTTTGTTTTCCTCAATCACCAAAGAGAGAATGGATTAAACTGACTTTGGTCTTAACCTTTCTAGTCCTGGGATTGACCTCACTTGCCTCCCAAACTCTCTTAGTTCTTCATGGCAAAGATAAAACAAGGTGCTGGAAACATTCCTCAGAGGTTTTGGTCCATGTTGACATTACATCATTGCACAGTTGTTGCAGATTTGTCAGTTGATGTGAATGTGGGTACACTGTGGTCATACTGATGGACACGGTCAACAACAATACTCATGTTACTCAGGCTGTGGTGTTTAAAAGCCTGTGCACATTGTTGCCTCAGTTTCCTTTTCTTAGGGTTAAAGTCTTGAGGTGCTGTAGCCCATCTGCTTAAAAGTTTGATGTGTTGTCCATCCAGAGATGCTCCTCTGCATGACTGGCTTGTAACGACTGCTTGAGTATTTGCCTTCTTATCAGCTTGAAGCAGTCTGCCCATTCTCTGTAAACCCTAGAGAGGATTGTCAACAGCTTTTGAAAAACACAGACAAGCCCATCTGGCACCAACAATCATGTCAAAGTCACTTAAATCCCCTTTGTTCCCCTGTACAGGGCTCAGTTTAAACTTGAGTTAGCCTGTGTGTTTAAATGCTTTGAGTTGCTGCCATTGGCTGATTGCATTAATGAGCAGCTAAACCTAATGAAGTGGCCAGTAATCATAGTTCATTGTTGTATTTAGTATTTTTGTTTAATGTGATTAAATTAACAAGAAAAATAATAGTAATGGCTACAGGTTAGTGTGAATGAAGAAGTTAATGAGAATGATCCTTTTGATTATTCTTAAAGGTGGGGGATGAACTGTTATTAACTTGTGTAAAGAGAGATTGCATAAGCTAAAACTCAAACATATATTTCCCTGACAGCTTCTCAGCTCGAGTTCAAGGCTTCCTTTTAGACTCGGCACACAGATTGCCTTGCTGACAAGTAGACACTTTATGCTTGTTTGTGCAACATTTTTGGCCTGTCAGCAGGTGAAAAATGTTAAACCAAACTACCAGCTAGACGTACACACTAGCAGCTCTGTCCTCACCTCTGAGAGGAAAAAATCCCGTGGACTGAGGCTCTGCTTGCATTTTGGGATGTATAAAATTCCATCAATATTTATTAACTGCGTTGGCAAAGTCGGTGCAACCGGAGTATAACTGAATTTTCAGATGATAGATTAGGTTATGAGAGCAGCGTGTCATTGATTGCAAAATGTTAAAGCTTGACATCTTTATGGAGCACGGTTGATTCTTTTCCTCCTTATTAATCTTTTTTTTTTTTCTTTCTTATACTGCTGTTTAAAAGGCTTCTTTCATTTCACTGCACTGAATGCTTACTTACCTGTAGTTTACAGTCTGAACAGCAGATGGAACTAAACCGCTTTAGAAAGCACACCCAGTATTTCTAATTGCAGATCAGTGAGGAGTGTGTGCTTCTGATATGCTTGAGATGTGGGTCTCATTCTCCTTTAGGCTAAATCTGATCTGCTATTGTTACCTTAAAATGTTCATCTGGCCTTTATGATCCATTTTTCTTTCTGCACCTTACTCGCCTGACCTGAAATGACCCGGTAGTGAAACGAGTGTGACAGTCATCCATTTATGGAGGTTTAATGCTGCCTGCTCGTTCACCGCCGCTGACATTAGACAGCTTGTGCCTCCCATGATGCCCTGCTGCCTCAGCGGTATCATTTCACAGTGAATGCCTGGACAACCAGGATGATGAGGTCACTGATTTGATGAACTACTTTTCTGCCTGGATGATGAGCTGTCATTAGATTGAAATTGCCTTATTTTCACTTCACAGGAAATGAAGCTGAAAAGTATGTGTGGTGATGGCTAATGTGCACTTGGCAAATTGACTATGGAGGGCAATTTGGTTGCTAAAACTAGCTGATGGAATATGAGCCTTTTTGGGGGGTTTCTTTGTTGTTGTTTTTTGTTTAACACAAAACATGATGTTACAAACAGTGGCTGCTCAACTAAACATGATTTTTTTTTTCCCCTTTCATCAGGAGGCTCTTGATATAGGATTTTAAATTTTCTGGCTACTGATAGTTAGTGTTTCTAACAACATTTGATGTGTAAAAATAAATTGGTGAACAGGAAACTCAAGTGAGTGTATAGAAGTGTGCAAAAGGCTTTAGCCACCCTTCAGTTCTTTATATTTTGCCAGGAAAATGGGGAATAGGTGCAGCGATTTATTGAATTAAATATACATTCAAATACAGTAAATAAGGCAAAAACAGAGATTGTATAATGTTATCAAAGCTCTCTTAGGCAAGCGATCTTGTCATTTCTTCAAGGAGTATTCAGGAATAGTTCTCCAGGCTTCTTTAAGGACATTCAAAGCTCTTCTCTTGACTGACTTTAGTTATGTTCTCTGTCTAGATGATCCCACTGTTCAGTGTCTCTCTTGACCTCCTTCATACATATGAACAAAGATTTCAACCAAAACTTTAAATTTGATTCCACTGATTTTCAGTTTAGTTCTTGAGTAATTTGGGAAATCTCTGCCTTTTTTTCTGTTTCCCTTCCTAAAGAATGGCTTCTTGAAAGCCACCCTTCCTATGAGACTGTTTCTGATGACCTTCAGTGAACAGCAAATGGATGAACTGAAGGGGCAGATGCATCTCTTAGATCCTGTGTGAGGTCTTTACTGCTTTTCCCCCTCCTGTTTCTTCAGGACAGGACTTCCAGACCCTATTCTCCTGCTGTAGATAGTTGTTTTTGTTTTGTTTGTTTGTTTGTTTGTTTGTTTTTTTAGGCCTGTCATGTCTTTTTTTTTGTCCTCCGCTTTTTCAGTTCTCTAAAATTTTAAAGGACAAGCTGCACACCATGCTAAGATATGGCATGTTTTCAGCTAATAGCTCTTTGGGAAACACCTTGTTGGTGAAAGAATTTATTTTTATGCCAAACTGTGTTATATTTGGCATTTGTCATAGGGACACAGGCTGAATTGGGGTTTTTTTTTCCCTCTAAGTTGTCTGTTGTCTGCAGGGACAACACAGATTTAACTCTTGAGTTAGGTGCATTTTTTAAGATTAAATAATTGATTTGTGTTAAGTGGCTTAACAAACAGACACAAAATAAAAACGAACCTGAAAATGGTCTGGTGCAGTTACTGGAGTAAAAAAGCAGCCAATGTCCCACGAAAACCTTCGAAAGACCTCCAGAAAGTCTGGAGAACAGTTGCTCTCCAGCTTGGAAATATAAAGAGATGACATCTTTTAACAGAGCTTTAGCATTACACATAATTTGCACATCATAGTATAGGCTCCAGCACTTGTAACTTATATCAAATAATTATGATTAATACATCAAAAATAAATACTTTGTTTTAATATGTGAATCCCCAGGTGACTTTGCACTGTACTGACTTGATAATACTATTTGGCCTGACAGTATTATGGCTACTTACATACAGCTTTACTTGTGTAAGGAAAACTTATGACAGGACTATACTATTGTTTTTTCTAATTGGTCCTTAGTTTTTTGATCCTGTGGTGATTTCTGTGGCCCACAGGATGTCCATCCTGCCTTGTGGACTGGTTTTGTGGTAAGAACGTGGTACGTGGTTTTCAGCCAGTCTCAACCTCTTTCCACGCTTGCATCTAAAAACATTGACATTTCCTTTCCTGGTTGTTTAACTAGCCAGCCTTTGAGCAGTGTGGGAGCAAATACCATATGACAGGACTGCTTTATGGCTTCCTTAAGTCAAACACCTGCTAATGGCTGCTTAAATACAGCTCCTCTTATCCGTTGTGGACTTTGTGTTTGCTTTGGTTCATTGTATTAGACTGGTCACCTTTTTGTGCACTGCCGTGTGAAAGCGAGAGATTACAAACCATGTATTTGATGTTTGAGGCTTTTATTTTCTGGGTAATTTTCTTTCCAGTGTAGCACAAATATGATGTAGATACACAGTGGCTGGTGGGTTTTGTTGGCCTGTGTACACACACAAAGACGTGATGTTCAAGTAAACAGAAGGCTGGAAAAACAAACACGCTGTTCAGTAAAGACTGTAGCGTGACAGACTAAATATACAGTTAGCCATAGTTCAATAAAGTTCAAACGCTGACTTGGCTTATGTGAGTGATATTTGGTAATTGATACGTGTAGACTTTCTGTTAGACCCGTGATCATAACTGCAGCTTGCTCACTTTAATGATTTTAATGTGCTCGTGCGTCTAACTGTAGGTCAGGTCACTGTAGGAAATCTTTTTAGATATGTTTTTGTTTATAGTGCAAGACAACAAGATCAAGCCCAACAGACATTTTTCAATGTGTTCTTTAGGTGATGTGTAATAGTTTTCTTCATAGAATACCTGGGATCATTTAAGACTGCTGTTATTTTATGGTCACTACTTTGTTTAAATTTAACATTTACTTAAAAATGACACTTTGTGCTGTTTGCATTGTCTTATGAATCTTGATTTTAATTTTTTTATTCAAGACTGTAAAATGTATTTGTGTTGTATTTTTCTTGCCTCTCTGAACCTCCTTGCCTTTTAATATTTGCAACCCTATTAGTTGTTCAAATAATCTTTTTTTCTTCCCACAAAGGGAGGAAGTATGTATTTGGTTCCATCTGTCTGTTTGTTTGCAGTCTAGCGTCCACAGTTTTCAAGACATCATTTTCAAATTTAAAGTTGGGTTAAAGCTGATTTTTAAATAACATCAATGTTTTTGCATAGCCTTTGCCCTTTGGGGGAGTTATGTTCTCTGAGTGTTCTTATTTCTGTCTCGATTGACTCATTTTTGGAGCCAACCTCAACTAGCTATCCAGTTAAGTCTGACGTCACTAGCCGTGTCTGGGCCTAAACTCCGCTGCAGGTCCATATATCAAACGATCACTATGGCATTA